CCTCACGAGAACGGAACTATCTTTCATATATCTTGGATTTTTCCTATATTCTCCATTTTTTTTTTTTTTTCCTCTTTCCCACAATGTTGTTTTTATTCCCCAACAACAACAGCAACATAGAAAAAAACAAAGAAATTGGAAGAAATAAAGAATAATAATCGTTTAGTTATAAATCTTTACGACGATATTCGTACGTTAGAATTATTTTACCCCGTGCAAAAAGAAAAAAACAAAAGAAAAATGTAAAATATTACCCCGTGAGAATTTTAATTAACCCATAGATAACTTGTACGAATAAAAACAACGGTGCATACGGTGGTGTACAATAATTTTGATCGTTTAAAATGACAATATTTTTGTTATTATATATAAAAAAAAAACCATAAGTGTTTCTCTCTCTCTCTCTCTCTCTCTCTCTCTCTCTCTCTCTCTCTCTCTCTCTTAGCATATGTATAAGAAAAATGAAAAATTTTAATTGCACCAAAGGTAATATACTTTAATGATAACCAACCTATCCTTGTATATATCCTTATTTCATATGTATCCTTGCAATCGTGTAAATTCTATGAGTATTTAAGTATTTTTGTGAATGTGAACAAAAAATAATATGGAGATCATTTTCGATAAGGATAATTCCAGTCGTTAGTTAGCCATTTCTTTGACATTAAGGATGTTTCAACTATACTTTTAAGATAAGGCAAATGGTATTTCTATGTTTCCTTCTCTCTTTGATTCTACTTTCGTTTATCTTCAATATTACTTTTCTTATCTCTCCTATATTCACATCTATATTTACAACTATCTATTCCGTATTTTTTCTTTTTTTTGTTTCTTCTTTTTTATTTTTATTGTTTTTTATAATACGTAACCGTTAATACTGACATTTAACAAAATATATCTAATTTTATTCTCGTATTAATGTTGTCTTCTCTCATTATCCTCTCTCTCTTGTGTGTGTGTGTGTGTGTGTGTGTGTGTGTATTGATTAATTAGATAATAAAATCACGAAACACGGAATAAAATCGTTGAACGATTAAAATAAGAATGTTAATCGCAATGAAATCAACTTTTAATTTTGAAATGCATTGAATTCCCTCATTTTATTGGATACAAGTTTTAGAAACACGCGTTTATACGAAAGTTTACTACAATTAATTAATGAAACTGATCTGAAGTATACCATAATTATATTTTTAATCATACACCGTGGTGATAATGGATAATAATAATGAAAAAAAAAAAAATATATATATATGTATATTTTTTGTTTTAAATCAAAAAATAAAAAAATAAAAATATTTTTAATAATTTAATATACAAGTTGTATGAGAGACATTTACAAATCGATATTATTTTTCTATTCATTATAATAATTCTTGTTTAACGTATTATATTTTATCATTCTATCATTATTTCTTAGACATTGTCTTAACAATTTTTGTTTCATTCTCTCTTTTGCGGTTATCTTCAAAGAATATATACACGGTACTTACTTACTTACTTACTTACTTACTTACTTACTTGCTGCTGGTGCTGCTCATCGGCTTAAGAGCCAGCAACCATTTTGTCGAACAAACCGGTAAGACACGGTCCTCTAAGAAGATAAGCAAAAAATGAGGCTGAAGTAAAAGTTGAAGTGAAGTGAAGTTAAGTGAAGTGATGAGACGGAAAGAAAGGTTGTATACGTGTATGTATGATGTTTGTACGTTATTTGTGTATGTATGTATATATATATATATGTATGTATGTGAAAGCCTGAAAGTGCATGTAAGAGAATATGCGCTTCAACTTCTCTCTGTGTATTTGTATGCGTGTCTGTCTGTGCAAGCCTTGCTTGCATATTGCAAAGGGAAACAGGTGGTTGGCTCGAAATAGAAACGGTCGGCGCCGAGCTAACGCGAGCAAATCGAATGCGCTTAGCCGCAAAAATGCGCCCATGCGACCAATCCTTCTCTTTTCTCTCTCTCTCTCTTTTATTATTATTATTTTTTTTTTCTTTTTCTTTCTCTTTTCTCTGTCTCTTCTTCATCAACATCTTTGGAATAATTTTCGTCTCCATTCCTGTCCTTATTTGCTTCAATTTCTCGTAAGGAAGCACAATATTCTTTGTTATTTTTCGAACTTTCGTTTATATTTCTTACGATCTTTTGAATTTATCTCATATTATATTCGTGAGAAAATATGTTATACAGATCGAATATATTAATATATTTTTCATTGAATATTTGCATTAATTTATATCATTATATTATTGTTAAATGAATTAATATTGAAAAGATAATCGTGAAAATTGAATATAAATCACACAAACAAAATTCGACGAAAAATATGATATTACCATTTGTTACAATAATTTTAGAAATTAACTAAAAAAATAAAAAATCAAGAAAAAATATATTCTTCATTTAATATTTGCATTAATTTATATATATATATATATATTATTGTTAAATTAATTAATATTGAAAAAGTTATCGTGAAAATTGTATATAAATCATAACAAAAATGATATTACGATTTGTTACGGTGATTATTAAAATTAACCCAAAAAAAAACAGGAAAAAATATATTCTTCATTAAATATTTGCATTAATTTATATAATTATATTATTGTTAAATTAATTAATATTGAAAGGATAATTGTGAAAATTGAACATAAATCACACACAAAAATTCGACGAAAAAGATGATATTACGATTTGTTACGGTGATTATTAAAATTAATTTATATCATTATATTATTATTAAATAAATTAATATTGAAAGGATAATCGTGAAAATTGAATATAAATCACAACAAAAAATAATTCAACAAAAATAATATTACCATTTGTTAACATGATTACCGAAATTAACCAAAAAAAAAAAAAAAAAAAAATAAACAATTGCGATTGTTTAACGAGTTGCAATTAATCGTAACATCGTTGAAATAAGCGTTAATTAATTTGATTAATTGGGAAGAATCGAATCGTGTTGCAGTTTATTCACTCTCTCTCTCTCTCTCTCTTTTATTTTCTCTCTCTCTCTCTTCCTTTCTTTCTCTTTCCCTTTTTTCTTCCTATCTTTTTCTCTCTCTTTCTTTTACGGTCCATCGCGAACCGCGACAGGAACGCTCACAACCCCGGATACGATGCAGACGAGCCTTTATTAGGAGCCATTCGTTCGCCTTGAGATGGCCGACGCGCGTGTCTCGTCGTCAGTAAACGTGAACGTGAACGTGAACGTAAACGTGAACGTGAACGTGAACGTGTTCTCTCACGATATACAAACCAAGACCAAGACCAAGACCGAGACCGAGACAGAACACGAGAAACACGCAAATAATCGACGATACTTCCTCGTGAAATTTCAATAATAACAATTAAACTAAACTAAACAACAAACAAAATGATAATATAAAAGACATATTTTTATTTTTTTAAACAATTTTCAAAATAATTTTATATCTCCCGTGCGTTTTTTTAACGTATATGCGAGTCTTAGAAAAAAAAGAAGACAACTAATTATATCTTCGTATTCGCTTTTTATTATTATTATTATTATTATTAATATACTCTCGTGTGAATTTTATGAAATAAAATTGAAAAATGTTAAACAAATTATTTATGATCCCTTATATATATATATATATATATATATATATATTTAAAAACATATTTTATGACAGAAATGTGAATATTAAAAATGAATTAATTTTGCATTGACAAATATTCGTGTATTTTATTTGATTGATAACAAAACGTGATTAATGAAATATAAGAATGAAATGTTATAATATAATAAATTTACGATTTGAGGAAATATCGAATGGTACTGTGCTTTTGTAATGAAATATTATTTTTTGAATTTAAATTTGGAAAAGTAGATCAATCAAGATAATAATACGTATTTTTATTCGGAAAAAATTTTCAGAAAAACACGCACACTTAATTGTTCTCTCCTATTGTTATAATTATCAATTGTAAAGATTTTTTCTTTAGTATATATTATTTTTGTTTTATTTCTTATTAACTCTGCAATGTTTTAACACTTTTAACTTTAACCGCGACACATTTTATTTCTTTTTGGTTCAATCCGTTTCTAACAGTCGTACTGTCACAATAACGAAATAACAGAATTTCTGAATAATATACAACGATTTTCAAATTTATTTCAAGGCTTATGGTGGACAGCGAACATTGCAGAAATACCAAAATTAATTCATTCAATTATTTTTTTATATTTCATAATCGTCATAAATCTGTGATCGTAGCATTTAAAGATTTAAATGACAAATTTTTAAATACGACAAAATATTTGTTACTCTCTTCTAATTCGCGAATTATTTTGATAATTAAAATTATTCCCCTATGTTTCATATAAAACACCTTAATTGTTTAATATCTTATTGCATTGCTAAATTCACGTGCTTTTCTATTTTTCTCTTTTTTAAAAATCAATATTATTAAAAACTCTAATAATGATAATAAATAATAATTTAGGATACACACACGCGTTTATTTCTAACACTTAATTGCATTTTTATATATTCACGTAGTTTTATTCTATTTTTCTTCCGTTAAATAAAATCAATTCGCTTTATTAACATCAACACTTTTGCTATTTCAATCTAATCTTATAAATCTAATCATATAATTATGAAAAATAAATAATAATTTATGTATGTAATTGATAAATCGTAATTTACATAGCCGAGTTGTATAACAATTAATAGAACAACAGGCTCATTTGTTTAAAAATATCTTTTTTGTTTACCTTTATATATGCTCATATCTATACACACGAATATATACGAACACACATGCACACCTATGTATTTATATTATTATTAATTAATTTAAATGTAGTAGACGATTAACGGAATGAAATATCGCGTAGTTCGCAATGATTTGATTAATCAAATGTTGGTACGTAGATTAGCGTGATTAAAATATTTCAAATGTTCTAAATCTAATAATTCGAATTTTGGTTTTTTTTTTGTTTATTTGTCTCCTCGACAGATTGGTTTCCAAAAATGTGTTCCTGTCTCGACAGCAGGTCGACAGCGACCGGTGGCCGATCTGCAACTCGTGAAAGAACATACGAACGACTTAGTTCTGCACCTACAATTTTTGAAATCAGCAGGATGATGCAGAGAGCTCGAAGAAGAGTTACTAGTCAAAGCGAAGAATTAGAAGTTTTAGATCAAGAAAAACAGGTAAACAAGAAATTCATTAATACAATATTTTTCTTCTTATTTCATTCTGTTTTATTTTTCTTTTCCTATCTCTATTATAAAATACATTTTAATTTTATTAAATTGTAATATTAGTTTATTTATTTATATATACAAACATTGACGTTAATTATCCATTGTTATATAACCAGAATAAAAATATTGAAAGATATAAAGATAATATAAATATAAATAAATATATAAGTTAAAAATTTTTAAAAATGAAAAGAATCCATAGAAATAAATATAAATAAATAGATAATGTATGCATAGAAATGAACAATAATTAAATATATTATAATATTGTAAAAATTATTATTACGAAAAACAATATGCAATCGAATTGGTGGTAAGAATAAAAAAAAATAAATTGTTCATTCAAACGTGTTCGAATATTCTAACAAAAATAATATTATTACAAGTTTCAATGTTAATACGATAGGATTGATTTTGGTAATAGAACATTGAATTGGAAATAAGCCAGTTTCTCGAAATAGATAATTTAACAAAAATAAAAGTTCTCTTTTAGTGTGACGTGGCAGGTAGAAGGCAGTTAGAATAATTATTATTATGTCAGTTTATATGCATTTTTGGCAAACTAAATGTTTCTCTCATCTTCTTTTTTTCTATTTTTCTTACTATAGATATTCTTTTCATTTTTTTCTAACAGATTTATATTCAGTTATTTCTTCGAGATACCATTTAACACACATACATACATACTTACATACATACACAAACATTCGTTTATTGCTTTCCAATTTCGAGAGAAGAACTATCATAATATATATTCGCGTACGAATTTTTATTCGAATTTTAAAAGAATTCATTTTAATTACGATTCATAATATATACATTTTTATTTTATTCCTTTTTGATTTTTTTTTTTTTCCAGGAAGAACTAAGATTTTACAACGACGACGAAACATGGACTGCAGTTGTCGTGGAAAAAAATTTACGTTGCATCGACTTATGCGAACTTCTTAAAGTTAAAAAGAACGTATCCGGAATTGCTTGGTCTATCGTTGAAACCTGGCCTGAATTAGGATTTGGTAAATATATTTTATTTTCATTTATAATTATTAATCAATCAATTATTTCATAACGTATATATTTTCGATAACATATTTTCAATAGAAAATATATTATTGTAATTTTCTACAATATTATACGATTCCACATTGGTGTTGTTTTAATTTTCGTATTAATCTATTTGCATGCACAATATGTTTTGCAAAACTATTCTTTTTTTTTTAGATATGATTATACAAATTATTTCATT